ATCCTGTGGAATAAGCCCTGAACAAAGCGTTTCCTGTCTCTGTTTCTCCCCTTTAACCCTTTTCCTTCCACTCAAGCACTCCATGACCCAAGGCCTGCTCCATAAGGCATGGATTCAATGTGATTCCCTCTTCCTGACCACTCAGAGGCTGTCAAAACCCCGAAATGACAGCACTGGAGTGCCAGAAGCAAGCAAGTCACCTGCAATTTCACACCTGCCATCGCTGCTTTCATGGCAGCTGGCAAGGCGAGAAGTTGATGAAAGTCCCACTTGGCCCAGGCTGAAAGTCAAAGCAACTGTTGGGCTTTTCAGGGAATGTCCTTCCCTGAAGTGGGAAGGCAGGTAGAAAACCTGCTGGCAGCTGCCTGGGTGCATCTGCTGCCTTGCTGAGGAGGCATTTGTGCTTTTTGCACACTGTCCAGTTCTTGGCAGCAGCTTTCCCGAGCTGGAAAAAGCATAGGCCATCATCAGCTGTGGAAATACTTTCTGGGCTGAGGATTTTTTTCCTCATCACTGGAGCCACAGTTGAACCGTGTTGGCCAAATCCACCTCCCTTCCAGGTGAGATTTAATAGTGCCAGGTGAGCAGCAATAACCATCCAGCAGGTTTTGACTACACTGGTCACATCTAATCTGCGATTTTACTTGTTTCACCCTAAAGGGATGCCCAACAGAGGCCATAAACCAGGCTAGGGGGAGCTCCATAGTACAACTGTGCAAATGCTATGACAGGCTGGGCTCTGATACCTGCCCTTCTACCCTCCACCAAGCTTCTGCTGCCCATTACCAACAGGAGGATGGCCTGCCTGTCCATGGGCAAGCCTATGCTGTATTTTTCATTTGATGTGAGTTATGGCTCAGGGAACAGCGATCTTGTGGTCCTCTCTGTCCTTGACCAAGAGCTCATCTTGGAAACTTTCTCCTCCAGGACTATAGGCTGAAGACCCTCACCAAATACCCACCACCAGCCACATGTTAGCAGCATGCGCAAGCCAAGAGGAAGGAGCCAGCCATCTGCAAGAATCAAAGGAATTCAAACAGGAGCAAGACTCGGGACAGAAACCAGACTCACAGAGGCTTGAGTATGTTGCAGTCTGGTCTCTTAGCCCTAATATCCTCTGACAGCTCCCAGAGCAAGAGCTGAGCAGGTTAGTGATTTGATCACGACACCAACTCCTGCGGGAGCTGCTGCTTCAAAGTCCTTGCTGCCAGTCCTCAGCAAAGCACGCAAGGAGCTGCAAAGACCTCCAGTCTCCAGAGCCTGTAGCAGTGACCTATCTTTGTGAGTGAAGAACTGCTGGCCAAATGCTGGGTTCAGTCCAGCCCTTGAGAACCAGAGCTCTGGAATGCAACTTCAGCCAGGGCCCAGTAAATGACTGCTTTTTTGATGGCTAATTGCTTATGAAAACAGAAGGCACAAACCCAGCCTGGGCAGGGCTTACACTGTCCGTATCACCAAGGGCCACAGAGACACCCACCCCAAATCAAACACTACCTGTCTAAGACTTTAAGTGAAATTTTGTTTCCAAGTCCTGTTCTGTTGGACTGCAGATGTAAAAATCTAAAGCCACCAGGGTAGCTCGGTTCATCAGGAATGTGTTAAGTTATGCCACAAAAACCATCCTCTTGCCAAGCAGCAAATACGCAGAGCTGCGAAAGGACATGCGTGCCTCCCAGTTAATGTCACCTTCACAGCTTCCATAGGTCACAGCACAAGCAGACATCCGCTCCAAAATAAGATGCCAGGCAAAACACGGACCCCATTCTGAACAGTGCCACAGGCCCAGGGAGAGCAGAGGAATTTAATGGAAATGGGACAATGGGAAATAAGGAAAGTCCCTACAGCAAAGACTCTGTGGCCCTTCAGTGGTTAAACAGCACTGCACCATACAGAGGAGTGACAATGGAGTTACTAAATGACTGCCTGGCAGCAAGTGTTCCCATGGCCATTCTTGCCAGCTCGGGAACTATACAGATAGCAAACAGCAGAGCTGTGTTCACAGGCACTGCAACAGAGACACATCCACCGCAAACAAAATGACTTCCTGAAGAGCCTTTAGGCCTGGACACACCACGCCATCACAGCTGGTAATTCATATCCTGAGGCAGGATTAAACAGTGGCAGGAAAGGATCAAGAATCAAAGGACCCGGACAAGCACGGGCTAAGGTTTCGTAAGGTTTCATAAGTTTTGTAAGTCACTAGAAGGAAGGAGAGCCCTTCAGGGAGTCTTCATCTGGCCATAGGGATACCTGGGAGAGAGAGGACTAATCCCACTCAAACATGGTCTCACTCCTGCTGCCTCCGTAAGTCACAAGGGATGAAGGGTTGGACAAAGGAATGGATAGTTTTATAGCCTCTCTTCTAGCAATAAAGCCTCTGTAAGATCCCAAGGAAAGCTGCCAGAAGCACCAGCTCTGGTCATCTCCTGGGAAAGGAGAAGCTGGGCTGCCCTGACTGCAGCAAGGTAGGAGCCATGCTGGCCCAAGCAGCTGTCTCCAGAGGATGCTGCACAGCCATGAATGTAGAGGACAACAACAAGGACAGGCTAGGGGACCCATGTGGTGGGTTTTAGCTCTCGAAACAGCTCCTGCAGGGATTCAGAGCAGGGCGTTTCGGGCTAATCTCTACGTCCCCTCAGGGAACCTGAAGGATTACTGCTCTGCATCTGCTCACATGGTTGGGCCCCACCTTGTCAAGGCGGGGGAAGTGCTGACAGCCGCTCTCATTCATTAATCGGTTTGGGATAAACAGCAACAGGCTCTGTCCACTGTGGTGCAGCATCTCTCAATTGACTCCCTTGCTCACAGGCCTGATGGCTTCTCTTGAACTTTGCCTAAGGCAGGAACGCGTCTCATGGCTTATCATTGAGGCCTGGCTCCTGACAGCAGCTATGGAGAGCCACAGTGCAGTTTGCTCAGCTGTGTCAGGGGTTGGGGAAGGGTGGTCACAGGAGCATTTGGCCATCACTGGTACCTAGCCAGCACTAGCCCATGGCACCCCCTTTGGCTGTAGCCCAAGCCAGGGTGGGAGTGGAAGTCCCTAGGCAGCAGTCACCACTAATTCCTAGAGCTGTGCTTTCACCTGTTAGCCCACGGTCTCCTGCACTCAGCTAACCTCCCAGTAGAAGAAGCTGCAAAAGACCTGCATAGGCTGAGGTGTTTGTGTTGTTAACTACACACCAAGATCACCTACCTGCTTCTTTCTGCTCTTCTGTCCCTCCTGAGCACGCCTCTCGCAAAGCTTACTGCTGCTCCCGGCATCTGCTTTACAGGACACACCGCTGAGCCTTCTTCCTTCCTTTCAGGACTGGGGATGCTGGTTTGAGGTCCAGATCTGGCTGTGCTAGGCTCTCAGGCAGTCAGTGCCATCTGCTGGCTGCTCTTTCCTTGGCTGCTATAAAAACATGGAAAGCTAAATAAGGGACAGCCTTACTATTTAGCCAGTCTTCCCCCAAGCCCTCACATGCTGCTGCTAAAGCCATATCCCATAGGGCTGACCTAAATCATCTAAATGATATACATCACTTCCAAAAAGGGAGCATTACATCGAAACATTTTATTTAATACTGTTACAAATAGGACAATACATATCAGATTCGAAGTCAGAGATTCTTAATTTATGATTATAACTTAAACATAACTTACTAAGACAGACCTTTTCATTTAAAGTCTTTTAACAGCTTAAAAAAAATCATATTTGCAATATATATACACAAATCTCAGGCTTCCATTTTATTTCTAAGTAATATGCAGGCACCAAATCCTTACAAACACCTCAATTATTTTAAAATTACCTGGGCCCAGATCAATGGCCACAGACCTACTCAGGAACAGGTGTTTCACAATACATTTACAGTTAACAGCACAGGAATATCCACAGTAAAAATTGCACAATTACATATTTATGTATACACCTGTATTACAGTGCATAATCCCACAGGGATGAGAATTTCAGATCTACTTGCTGCATTCAGAAACCAGAGTACCTAGTACATACACTACAATTCCTAGTGCTATTACCAAAAAAAAAGAAAAAAGCGTAAAGTCCCCAAGTTTTCTGGGACATGCAGCAGAAACCCAAGTAATTGTCCATATCACTACAGCCATATTTATTGACTGGAATATCCTCTTAAAACAAACTGACTTCAACAATAAACCAGATCAATGGTTTCAAAGCTGTTCAGTGAATATTTTTTCATCCCAATTATTCTCTTTCTGCATATGCAACCCATGTATCTCCAGAGAAGGCATTTCCAGCAGTGTAGTAAGTGATGTGAAATAATGCATGTCTTCACCTCACCTAGGTACCTTTGAGTAGACCAGAGGAGAAACCAGCCTCCTCTTTAGGCAGCAGCTTACTATTTGCTCACCATCTGGACAAGAGATGGCAAGCTCCCAGTTATGATAACTACATGACTGAATGTAGACAGTATTTTGCCAGAAGGCCAGAGTTTTACTCTCTGCTTGTCTTCAATGGAAACAGGAGACAGCTTGAGTTCAAAATTTCTGAGCAATACACAAGGTCAATCATCTTGTCAGCAGGAGGTAAAAACATCTGGACAGTTGCTGATCTGCATGCAGTTTCATTCCCCGGAAATCTCCGAGACATAAGTAAAGATGGCTTCAATTCCTGCAGAGAGAACAAAATTCCTCTATAAATTGGAAAACTGGCAGAGATTTGTATTTGCTCTCATTTCAGAGGAATTTTGCATGTAGCAGGTAGCAAAATCACACAAAAGTGCTCCTGATACTGTATGCGGCTGGACAGAATGCTAAGCACAATCATCCTTAAGGAGCTGAATAACCATTTCTAAAGCAATAAATCCATCAGCCTTGTTAGGAACTTCCATGCAAGGCCAAGAAGCATATTAGGTCCCCCAAAGCACATATTGATATTTCAGCAATTGTATAGCAATCAACAGCTCTGATTGCTTGCGTGATTAAAAGGAAGACAGTTTGTGAGTGCAACTATCTCATGTGCTCACCTGAAACACCCAGAGTTAGACATTCTGGCCAGCACTTTGGAAGCTACCTTCGATGGTTAGGCTCTGGCAGCTACTATAAAAAAACAGAAATGAAAAGTACTTTAATGACGACTGGTTTATATCAAATGGATTTCAGCAAAGTAATTAAAGTGTTTTTCCTGCTGCTTTTTGAGATACAACTTACCTGGAAGGAGTAAATTTCTTTGCTGCAAAAAGAAAAAGAAAAGGTATTAGCGTTTCAAGATGGAAGCCCCCTCATGAAAACTGTTTCTTCTACTAAATAACCTCTCATTTCTGAGTATCTGATAAAAAGCCATTATCTAGCAACAAATCTCAAGGCAGTCATGACTGTGTTGGCATTAGCCTCTTCTCAAATTGCCATTCACTTTCTCTGGCACTAATTACCGATAAATAGAATGTTGTTTTTTTCTTCTAATTCTTGCTTTCTAAGCATTTGATTTTTACTATTTTTGATTTTCCAATGTTCATCCAAAGGCCAAACATGGCATGCATGCAGGCTTCTTGAAAATAATTTTTGAATTTGTTTAACTATGGGATTTTTCACTTTTTCAAAAAGCAAGGTATTGGGATTTGGAGGTGGTTTTCTTTTTTTCTCCACTGAAAAATTTTCAGGAAAGTAAATAAAATCAGCAGACCCAGTCCAATTGCTCACCTTTTCTTTGGAAACGTCTTGCAAGCCAAAGGAGGAACGATGCCGTGGACAACAGAGAGGCACTTGTGGCTGCTATGCCCACAGAGACATAGCTGACTTGTTCAGAAGCTGAAAGGATGAAAAAGTTTCAGTGAGATCGAGTAGCATGTGAGGTCTTCAAAGCCCCCTCTACTTCTGTCTTTTCCTTGTGCTCTTCAAGAGGAACCAGAATTGCAGCTTGTAACCCTTAAGTTTTTTCTCTCTGAGGCAGGACACATCCTGCACACAAGGTAAAAAGCTACATACTAAAAATTATCCCACCCGTTGCCAAAGCAATGGCAAGGCTACAAGGTAGGTACACCAGGGTCTGTCCAACCTCCAGCCTCACATGACAGTTTACACTCATCTTTTATTTTTCATGTTTCAGTTCATATTTTAATTCATACTGAATGAAATTATTCAAGGATCTAAATTCTGCTCAAGCAAGTAAAGTGGAGTTGAGCTTTTAGGACCTCAAGCAAAAGCATGCTAGGCAGACCAAGTATGTTCCCACTAAGGACAGGGACAGAGCTCTTACTGCATTGAATGAGAGGGTGAGACTTCTGTCCTGTAAAATTACAGGCTTTGAAAAGCTGAAAAGCTCTGAGGTCTTTTGACTGAGGAGTTCATCCAAGAAACTAACATATCAACTTTTCCGCTGAGAAACAGACTTATGAATGCAGATTTCCTCACAAGGTTCTGTTACTCTAGAAAAGTTTTTTTTTATTCATATAGAAGCAGCTCAACATGAGAAATATTTTAAACAAAATCAAACAAAACAATCCAAAATCAGGTTGTAGTTTGTGTTTTTAGATAAGAAATCAACATTTTTCACCAAGACCTTTTAGGAATTTTGCCTCCTCCTATTTAAAAAAAAATACTGAGAGATTTTTATTGGGCTTTTTAATTCACGGACTTCACTAGAAATTCTAGTTCACCGGCTGGTGTTACCTCCTCCACCCTTCCATCCCTCCTTTCACTATTAACCCAGTGCCACCTATTAGTGCCTGGTCACAGGTCAAATACCTTCACATGTGGGTGGACTAGCACTCCAGTTTCCTGAATGACTGCACTCAAGAACATGAGAACCATTGAGCCTCCATCCTTCCAGACAGCTGAAGTGGCAGGCTGTGTTGTACGTGAAGTTCCCAGCACCATGTGAGCAATCCATAGAGCCTTTCTCAGGAGAGGTGAGTGGTTCACACTGTACAACTGAAATACAGAAAGAAATGGTTAAGAGTCATTAAGGGCTTTCCTGTCTTTGGCTGTTTTTTGCACTAGTACATTTATACGCTGTATTTTCAAATTCATTTGACTTTGGGATAGGAGCAGTTCACACAGCCATGAGCAGGCGTTTCTAAGGCAAGGCAAGTCACAGCTGAAAACATGAGAGAGTACAGAGCTTAGTAGGGAGCCAAGACCCTAGAGAAATATGGATTTCAGTGTGCTCTCCGGTGACAAGAAAACTCTGTTTTCCAACCCAGTAAGTCCTACCTTCGCATTTTGGCACTGGCTCTGACCACTGTCCCTGTGCCATGCACTCAATGCTGGATGGGCCATCGAGAACGTAGCCCTCGCTGCAGTGGAAATCACAACGTGAGCCATAGGTGAGAGCTGCAGGAACGTGGTCACAGGTCACAAAGCCACCTTCTGGCCAGGTTACAGCCTCACACCTCACAGCTGCAACACACAGATCACAACAGCAATCAGCACAGATGCCTCAGGAATTCAACGTAGCAATGCTGACAGCTCCAAGTGCTCAGGTGAGCAGGGATAAGGAAAGGTACCTGCACAGGATGGCTGCTGCCTGTCCCAGGCCCCAGAAGACCCACACTGCAGTGTGGCTGGTCCTGTCAGGGCAAATCCTTCCTCACAGGTGAACTCACAGGTGGTACCCCAGGTGAGCTCTACAGAGGGATGGGAGCAGTTCACAGCACCATGAGCAGGCATTTCTAAGGCAGGACAGGTCACAGC